GTCTGGTACAATATCATTTATTCCTTTAAAAGTCCCCCAGCCATGCCAATATGGTGATATGTCTTAAGGGTATTTATGATTTAGTGCGGGATGGGGGATAAAGGGCAAATAATATCATAAAACACTTCTTTGATCAAACTTCTTTTCTCAATAAGAAATGACAATAAAACTTTAGGATATTTCGTAAATGGCAAGATACTTCTTTCTTTTTTAATTTACGCAATAATTTGGCGTTTGATAAGATGCGAAATAATTACTTTTCATCCAATTATGTGAAATACATGGATGTATAGATTTTGCATCGTTTTATTTAATTACTTAGTATTTTATATTGTTGGATTTGCATCGTTTTATTTAATTACTTAGTATTTTATATTGTTGGATTTGAATTAAATATTTCACATTAAATATTTTATGTAGGGGATTGTAGAATATCTTGCATTCTTTTATAAGCACAATAATAGCTTTGCGTGTAATTTAAAAATAAACTATATGCCTAACAGAACGCTTTTTATTTTATTTTATATGTAAAGTGATTATTTCTCAAAAGTTTACATGTAATCATTTATTGTGCAAAGATTTCACATGCAAATTACCAAATGAGCCCTAAATGAGTATGAACTCTAGAAGCAAATCAGGATTTAAAGACCTATTATTCAAAAAGCTAAGCAAATTAGTATTTTTCAGCTTATCATGCACCTAATTTTATTTTATCATTTACGTAATTTTGGGGAGATTTTCCAAAATAGGATTAAATGAAGTTTGGAATTCCAAAATAGGACTACTATATTTTTATTTTCAAAACATGACTAACATGATAGTATTTACTGTCATCTTGTAGGAGTAACTGCCAAATAGTTGCATACAGTACAGTGCATTTAACATGACAATATTTACTATGATTAATGATAGTATTTTTTTTAATCATGACAGTATTTTTCATACATGACAGTAACAACTCTTATTTTGGGGAAAAACATAGTCCTATTTTGGAATTCCAAACATCATTTACTCTTATTTAGGACAATTTCTCGTACTTTTTTGTTTCGTGTCATGAATTTCAATTGTATGATAATCAATATACAAATTTTTTGTTTCACATCTTGAATTGTACAATAATCAAAATAAGTAATGTTGAATTACGACTAAATTAATTCAAATTGCAATAAATGACATTTTTAACTATGTTCTCTTAATTTTTTATTTTATTAATAAATAATATTTTAAATATAGTTTATCTATATTTTCATAGCTATATTTTAAACAGATTGAGTCATTTCATATATAGCTAAAGTAAATACTTTGAATGTAATTTAAGTCATTTGATCCTGCATAAAATATTCAACGTCGTATGATTTCTTTTGACCATATTTAACTTTGTATAGCTAAAGTAAATACTTTGAGTACAAATTATAAAAATCATCTTCAATCGTAATTACCTATATAGGAGTAAAAGATTTACCATTTGCCAAAATAGGAGTATTCACGTAACTTATGTTTGATAGGAGTCTTTTAAGACCAAGTTGACAAAAATAACCCTCTAGTAATTAAATCACCTACGCCAGTTGGAAATCAAACAGTTAACATTCAAATTAAAAGTCCAAACGCATCAGAGTTATTTCCCGGGGAGGGGTACTTTGAAATCTTATTTTCCAAAATAGGGTACTTTTAAACTTATTTCCCGAGAAGGGGTGTTTTTCCCAGTCAGCGTGCCATGTCAGCGCCGAAATTAAATCTATTTCCACGTCAATTATTCAGCCACATCACAAGACCCACGTCATCTCATAGGGATGCTTCATAAAAAAATCAAGCTCCTAGGATTCGAACTCACGCCATACATTAAAAATAAAGATCATCAGACCAATACACCACATGCATTTCATATGTCGGTTTGACATTAAATCATATATTATTATTACTAATATTATACCAGGATCTTTAATTAAAACTAAACTCTTCTTCATTTTAATTACATATGTTCCTCTTTTGCGACCATCGCGATAACCAACATAGGCTTTGCGAGATTCAATCGGCACTAGTGCACCAGCAGTTCACCATCCGGCGCTGGCTTCGCAGGTTCCACCGGCCGCTCCATCACCGCACCAGACGCCTCCACTTATTGGTTAGTCTCTTCTTTCATGGCAATTAAACATGATATTAAACTTAAAAATAGCAATTTGTTGATTTTATGCTTGGATTTTCGAGTATGTATGACCCCTGGCTGAGTTTTGGGCAATGATATAACGTGGAATTCAAAATGGCTAATGATATAATGTGGAAATATATCAAAGTGGTGAAATTTGAAATGTCTATTTTTTCATAACTTGGAAATTTTCTTTGAACTTCATTGACTTTATATTATCGGAGAATAATTAAGTATATTTGAAAACACTAGGATAACAAGTTAGCATCTTGGTTTAGTGGTTGAAGTGCGTAGCAGTGGAGTGCAGAGGGCTGGGTTCGACTCTCCCTCATGACACAATTTTATTTTCATATATGACACATGTGATGACATGTCTTTGTGACGTGGCTGATAAATGAATTCGAAATGGAATTTAATTTCGGTCCTGACATGGCACGTTGATTGGTAAACAAACACCCCTTCTCGAGAAATAAGTTTAAAAATACCCTATTTTGGGAAATAAGATTTCAAAGTACCCCTTCCCGGGAAATAACTCAAACGCATCAGCATATAATTTTAGCAATCATCGTTGGTGCCGGATGCCACCATCGTCACAGGTGCTGCCCTTCTTTGCCTCCCACACGGGCATCGCCATACGTTGCCACCCAACCGCCGTCGCTATCAGTCGACGCTGCCGCCCAACCGCCGTCGCTATCAGTCGCCGCCGTCGCCATCCCCCGTCGTTACTGCTGCCCAACCTACGCCGCTGCCGCCACTCTAGTCGCCATTATCGTCTTTTATTAAAACTATCGCAAGTGTCAATTTCGGGGCCACTGCTTCACCTTGAGCATCACCGCCGCCGTCACAACTCCAGCGTTATTAATCTGACATTAAGTTGGTAGATTAATTACGAATCTGCCATAATGTTGGCAGATTTACACATAACTGCCATAATCTTGGCAAAATATGAAGTCAACAACTAAATATCCGGTTTAACAAAACGGAACAATCACTTTAACAAATTCACCTCAATCATAGACAAGAAGTTAATGATAAAAATCAGAAAATTCAGTTTGCGCCAAAGCTTCTTTATCATTATACGATTGTATTGTACATTTCTGCCTTAAACTTGGCAAATATTTATGCCATCATTATACGATTGTACATTTCTGCCATAAACTTGGCAAATATTATGCCATCATCCAAAAATCGAAACAACAGGAAAAACTGAGAAACCAAAAAATGGGAATATGAAATTGGAGTCCAGAAATCAACGAAATCAAATGCCAAAACTCAAAAAAATAGAGAAATAGAAGGAAAATCAGAGAAATAGAATAATAGGAGGAGGAAGAAGAAGGATGATGAGGAGGAAGAAGATGAAGAGGAGGAGAAACCTGATTTGCAGACAGGGTGCGTTGGAGTCAGCGACGGCAGATATGGGTAGGTATGAAATCGACGATGGCGTGCGGAGAAGAAGTTGATCGGTTTTATTCACGGAGAAGAAGAAGTCGACGGATCTAATTTGCAGGGTAGAAGAAACTAATCGATGGAGAAAGGGGAGGCGGTGGTGCGCAGAAAGGAGGAAGAAAATGGTGAGTAGAACGGTGGATCGATCATGGGCTAAACAAAATAGGGGCAACACTGGAACATAAAAGTCCTTATGTTTTAAATAGGAGTAATATGATCCTATTTGGGAAAAAAACATGCATACTCCTATTTTAGAATTTCTCCCATGTTTTACTCCCATATGAGGCAATTACTATATACTTTTACAGTTTTACCGTTTGAACGTAATGAATTTGCATTTGAAGTTTAAGACAAAATATGTTAGAATGAATCTTCTAAATAATTCTAACTTAAACAATTAAAATGAAGTATAAATTATACTTTTGATTAAAAGAAAATTGAAAATCAAAGACTAAAAAAACAAAAAAAAAATCTTTTTCAATAAGTGGTTTTCCTCAAATATAACTTATAGTTAAGCTAAATTCCAAAAAGTAATTACTTCTATATATAGATTAAAATGTACGTGCTTAAAAGCTAATAAAATGGGATGTCGTGGAGCCCGTTTGGTAACATCGACATTTGTTGAATCAGCTGATTCTGCTGAAATTTATGAGGTTCTAGTGGAAGTGTTTAGATTAACTAATTCTGCTTATTTATGATGAAGTTATATTTGTATTAAAAACATGTTTTATTAATAAAATAAAGAAAAAATTATATGAAATTAGATAAAATGACACCCTACAGTAACTTCAGTTAATTCAGCCAGAAAATTAACTTCAACCTTACACAACTCAAAAGTTACAACTCAGTGCACTAAATCAAAAGTTATTGTAAAATGTTTTAACAGATTCAATCATAAAAATAGCTTTAATCTTACCTGTAAAATGTTTCGTAAAATAATTTATAGGTGAAAGTGAGTGAAACTAATAATCCGAAAAACAAAGTTATCAAGGTAGCTCCTCCAATGCAAAAACTACCAAACAACAAACACGAAAACGGATGCAGAGTCTCTACCTAGTTTAGCAGCCAGGTAGAGTGCCCGTCTTTTATAAGCCGTTATATTTCATTTCCGTGCATCTTATACAATTTCCTTCTATCTTTGGTGCCTTTGGATTGCCGCAAGGCACTCCAAACCGCACGAAAACACCCTTCTAAGTTCTAATTTACTGCAGATTACTGTTCAATAACTCCTCCATCGATCTTAAAATATCAACAAAAACTGGGAGGAAGTGCATATAACACTTTTTTTCTAATTTTTAAATGGGGAATACAGAACATAAAAAAAGTGAAATTAGTGGAGTAATTTGCTTTTCTTTCCAACAAAAAAGCAAAGCGCTTCAAACTGTCGGGCATCAAAGTGTCTCGCCCGATTTATTCCTCCCTTCCCTCCAAATACAAACCTTCCCCTTTCTCGGGCCTCGCGAATGCTCACTGATTTCTCACTTTTTCTCTTTCTAGCTTTCTCCCTCTACGAACCAAAAACAAAAGCCACAAAAAACACCCACTGCACAGTGACACTCACCATATCTTGTTTGCTTCCGTTATGCTATTTTTTGAGCTGTTTCACGAATCTTGACACATATCTCAGCTTCTGAAGAACCAAAATTTCACAATCCCTTCCCGAGCTCTGTTTGCTTCAAGTTGAAGGGCGACTTCTACTGTCATTTGTCAGTGGGTTTTAAGAAAATCTTGCAAAAATGGAGGAAGCATCAGCTTCGGCGCCTGCTTCTGCTTCATGCTCCACTTCTGGTAAGGTTCGGTTGGTACGTTGCCCAAAATGTGAAAACCTTCTCCCTGAGATGCCTGATTTCTCCGTCTACCAATGTGGTGGCTGTGGTGCCGTTCTTAGAGGTACCCACCGTTCTTTAACCTAGTTGCTACATTTCTTTTCTTCCAATTTCTGTTTCTGGGTAGCAAAGTTGCATTTTTTTTCAAGGGTATAGTAAAGTTTCAATTTTTTCTCAATTTTTCTCAATTTACTCGAATGGAGCATGAAAGAAGTGATTTTTTGGAGCTGAAATGTGTTTAAGCACTGAAATGTTTTATTTTGAGCACCACTATTTCATTAATGAGTTTCTTAAAGGTCTGATTAGTGCTTGTTTTGGATGTTGCAGCTAAGAAGAAAAAAACTATGGAGGATGGACTGCCAGAGATTTCTGATGTAGAAAATGGTAGAACAGTTTCTAGTAAAGAGGTCATCGCTATGGGTTCAGGAAATGTTTGTGAAACTGAGGTGAAGCATAGTGGGCATGAAACAGGCAAGATGAAGGCCTTGCATAGTAATTCCTCATTGGGATCCATAGAAGCTGGCCGTAGAGACCATGAAGCCATTTCAGTTCATAAGAGGCGTGATTTGTGTAGAGGAGATAATAATGTTTACGATGAAGAAGAGCACAATATTTCTAAAAGTGAGCTTGATAATCAGGTCTTTCAAGATGATGGTCGCTGTGTGGGGTTAGGAGTTCCTCAATGTGCTGGGAATGAACCCAAACAGCCCATACCTTCAGCAGAGTCATTTAGTTCTGGGCCTGTTATTGACAGTAGGGGTGGGGAAAGGAAAAAATTCAAGGATTCATATGGAGATGCCAGACAAGCAGCAAGGCAGGTGAGGTTTATGGATTGTCCATATTCAGACGAAGGGCCTTCTTCGAAATACGGAATGGGCTCATATTATGGTGCTAATGATCGTAGGAGATACTATGATGGTTTAGATGGGTTTGCCAAAGTTGCAACTCTTGAGAATGATCGAGCCGAGCTCCTCAGAAAGATTGATGAATTGAAGGACCAACTTAGCCGAACTTGTGATATATCAGAGAAGCCCAAGGAAAGAATTGTTGCTGAAGGAAGAACAGCCCCAGCTCCGATTCCAACTCCATCAGATTCTTATAGTAGGCACAACATGTTTATGCAAGGCTCATTTGGTGCGAATAAGCATTCCCTTGGACGAGATCACCGGGTGGGCTTTCCATACATATATGATGATCGAGTAAGTGGTCCTTATAACGGCAGACACTGTTCAATGATGCAAGATGCTTACCTTCCGATGCACTTTAGTAATGGTACTCTAGGTTATGAAAATGCATACATGGATGAAATAATCAAAATGCCTCCCCATCAGCCATATCTCAGTCCATCGGATTTAACTTCAGATCTCATTAGGCCATATCCACCACATGAGAGCCGTTTTCACCATCCCGCTTGCTCTTGCTTCAACTGTTTCAACCACAACATGGAACCACCTCCTGTGATCCAACAATCTACTTTTAGAAGCCGAAGGTCACGAAATGACCCTGCCAATCCTGTTATGTGTCATTCTTCAGCACATGGTTACACTTCTGAAGGCTCCTCGTCCAGTCATCCTAATGCAAAATGGCTGACTAGAAGCTCAAGTGATTTGAGTAGGAAAAATTGTACTGTTGGTCTTCAGCGCCATCCAAGGAAGGTATTTGTTGGCCATGGGAGTGGGAAGGTGTGCAGAACAGTTGCAGGTGGGGCCCCTTTTATATCGTGCTACAACTGCTTTGAGCTGCTGAAACTGCCACAAAAAGATAGAATGGTGGCCAAAGACCAGAACAAAATAAGATGTGGGACATGTTCTTCCATCATCGCGTTTGAACTTAATAGCAAGGGCATTGCCTTGTCTGCTCCTCAGATTAAACAAGTGCAAGTCAATGAATCCATTAGTATGCCGCCTCACAAGAGACTTCATAGTTCTAGTGGTTTCATTAGCCCCTGCTCTGATGATTATGATGAACATCATAATTTCAAGTATGAGTTCCATGACACCTTCCGTGAATCTGGAAAGAGGCAAGAGGTTCATTCTTTGTCATCTAGTTTCTCTGAGCATGAGAAAAGCCCCAGGGTTGGTAATGTGAGGAAAGATTGTTCTCGATCTGCTGAGCTGCACATTAAAGATGATATGTCTCCACTACTTCCAGATTCACCTCTACATCATGACCATCTTTCTTCAGATGATGTGACTGATATATGTAGTAGGGGAACTAAAATTGAATCTGCAGATGAAAAGATTATTGATGGGTGGACCTATCGTCAGAATTCTGTGAAAGATGCTTGTGTGGCAACTGAGATAGACATTTCAATGCCTCAAGAATCCACTGAAGTTGCCAAGGAAGATCGGCAGAATGGTAAAAGGGGGAGCGAATCCTTCATTGTAGGTATACTTAAAAGGGGATTTGGAGAATTGGCAAGGTCGGGTCAGAATTCTGAAAACAGGAGATTGAATGTGTTTGTGAATGGGAAACTTATATCAGGTCGTGTCCTTAAAAAGGCGGAAAAGTTAGCAGGACCTATTCAGCCTGGAGATTACTGGTGAGAATCTAAACTACTGCAGTTTTGTTTAAGTACAGCATCTCCTGATTCTATTTTTACCGTGCATCAAAGTTGCAAAGGATAAATACAATATCTTAACATTTTATTTCCAGTGTATTTGCTCTTCATAATAGTAAATACCAGCCTCCAATACTCCCATTTTGGCCCATGTGACAGTTCCTTCAGCATTGCTTTGTCAGTGAACCAGGGCCATGCCTTGTATGAATTGTCTTATTAGCTTTCTACATGTAATTCAATACTCAAACTAACTTCTTTGTATTCCTATTTTTGAATAAGGTATGATCACAGGGCAGGATTTTGGGGTGTGATGGGCCATCCATGCCTAGGAATCACTATGGTGAGAACTATTAGCTTCGTGTGTGTATATGTGTGTTTGGTGGGTGTATAGAACAGTTCTATTCCTGTCACACACCTGCCTGTTAGAATTTGTCAGGTTAATGTCTATTTTGGTTATTACATCACTTCAATGGTTCTATTTTTTTTTCAGCTGACGGTTAAGATTAATTCAAATGGAGTTATTTTTGTTAAAACTAAACTTTTTAAGATAATCTAACGTTTGAAATCATCAATACTTGATTTAAATTTATCAAAAAAATCTGGGCCCCGTTGGGTTCATTTTTGGATATTCTCTTTGGGCTCGTGTGAGATGATCTCATATCTTTGTCAATGTATTTAACATTTGGTTTATTATATCATAAAATATTGATGAGGGAAGCGCATTACTTCCTTGTAGCCAAATATAGAAGAGTTTAATTACGCTATGCCAAAAAATTGTGCTGCTGGAAACACGGGTGTGATAGTGAATGGGCGTGAGCTTCATGAGAAGGATATGGATCTACTTGTTAGGAGAGGTCTTCCACTTACAAGAAACAAGTCGTATCTAATTGAGATGTCAGGAAGAGTTTTTGATGTTCAAACTGGTGAAGAGCTTGATGGCCTTGGCAAACTTGCCCCAACGTAAGTCTGTCATGTTTCTGGCATGCATGAGTAGTAGATTATACAAAATGTAGTCTTTGTCTCTTTAAGTTAGCTTTCATATAAGCAAACTGCTAACTCTTGCCATTATTTTACAGAGTTGAAAGAGCAGGGCATGGATTTGGAATGAGAGTCCCAAAATCACTTGTAGAGGAGTCACATTAGGGTATGATCTTCACTTTGCAGATGATATCATATGCAGCTGTTTCGCAATACAGTTGTATTTTGATGCACAATAAGAATAAAAAAAATTAAAAAAATGTTCTTAGACATTTATTTTAATGTTATGTAAGTGCTGAATGTTGCACATAAGTGGCTGAAAAGCTTGGCAAATTCAAATTTACCTGGAGGTTGATGTGAAGATGGCAAATGTTATGATGCTTAGTGAAGTGAATAATTTTGAATTAAGCAGGACTGGTTAACAAGTTAACATAGTAGCTGGTTATTGCATCATAAGTAATTTTTTCATAGAAGATATTTAATGAAGCTGATTGGCTGTGATTAATTTGAGTAGGTGCTCAAGTGGTAGACTCGAAACGAGGCTTCCCGGTATCATGACATACCATCTCTCCACACACCTTCTTGGCAAATAGTGTTTGGGGTGAGCGAATTCACCTTTTGGAACAAGTTTTTAATAGAGAAATGCTTCCATGAGATTATTTGAAAGCGAACTTACAAGAGGAAATAATATTTTTTGTCGTCCCACCAGACTAGATTGTATTATTATTGTATGGAGGAGTATATATGATTATAAATACAAAATAGTTACAAAAGTATCCTTCACTTTCATTTTAAAAAAAGTGTCATTCACTTTCATTCAAAAAAAAGTATCATTCACTTATTTTTTTTTAAAATCAATCCAACACATATATTAAATCAACAAAACATTTGTCATTTGTTTGACAATACAATCAGAGAAAAAGTGGGAAATAAAAATGATAAAAAGCATTTTGTCTGTTGTCCACCCTTGAATCAGACTTAGAATCCATCACCTCTATAGAAGCAATAACATTCGTTTATTCTGTAAATCTGTAATGGACACTAAGTCAATGATTGGCAAACCAGACTTCTCATCACCTGACATAAACTCTCATCACCCAAAACAACATACAATTCGAAAGAAAAACACAAACAAAATAAAATAGAATTAAATCAGAATTCATTCATCTTCTTCCAAACACTAAACTCTCTTGCACTCCATGGCGGCGGCTCGGGAGGGGGACGAGTCCGCCGTTGATCCGCCTCAAAAGTCATGCTTTTACAGTGATTGACGATATCCTCCATTGATATCCCTTGCTGTTGAATCAAACCCAAGCTCCGCCACAACTTATCTGCCTTTTCTTTATCTATCCTCGTCCCTCGACCAGAAACAGCAGCAGAAGACAAGCCACGACTACCAAAGCGTTGCATCCCTGGTCACGAGCCTGCTTGCACGACCAAAATCCACTAATGACTGCTCTTTGTCAATGACAAAAGCGGAAGAATAAAACCCTTGGGGGAGACCACCTTAAAATCGGAAGATTTTAAAAAGGAGAAATCTTTAGGCTCCTCATCCTAAACTCCGATCACTTCTATTTAATTCACAATTTCCGAACAATCCAAAGCATGGAAGGCCACGGCAGGCGGCAGCACTATGTTAATTTAATGTCATGCTACAAATACAAAAAAAAAATATGCAAGTTTCCCCAAAGAGAATGTTACGTTGTTTTTCCACACATTTCCACACATCACATCATACGTATGTCATTAATGAGCGTATGGACGCATTTTCCCGATTTGTAATATGAGTCATCTTGTCTAGACAATAATGGGCAACAACCAAAGCTGAATAAAGAGAAAGAACTAAACTAAATAATTAAAGCAAATATTCTCAAGAAATAGAATTCAGCCATGAAAAGGTGCGTCATTATAGTTAATTAACAATGCATGAAATATAAGTTCGTATACGTGCTAAAATTAGGTGAAAAAGTTATTCATTGCAAACGATGTTATTTTTTGTAAAGTAAATACGTATGGAACATGTGAAAATGATATTATGAGTTGTAAATATAAATGAATGTGCAAATGCTGTATTGCATTGTAAAAATAAAAAATGAAAATAATTGAAGTATTGAAATGTATTGTTTGTTGATGCAAATATTATGCATTTGGGGTAAATGTTATTATACGTAATGTATAAAATGTATAGTACCAATGCTATACATTTAATGTATGTTTTCGTATAAATAATGGAAAAGGGTGAACTTAGTTGTGTAGTGTAAAACTCTAAAATCAATTGTTGATACATACTTCGTCATATTTGTGTACTAAGTGCTGTTTTTTTTATCTCCAACTGACCGTCGTATTAATTCACCAAATCATGTGTCAGAAGGCTTACAATAGTGTCAGGGATAACATCATAACAGCATGACTGATCTGGGATAGACACATGTGCTCTTGCTAACGCATGAGCAACACGATTCGCAGATCGCTTACAAAAAGAGATAGTAACATTACTCTTATTTTTCAACAAATATCTAATATCCTCAATAAGAAGGAAAAGGTAAGAAGTTCCTCCCCCATTTTTGAGCCCATGGACCACAGCGAGAGCATCGGTCTCAATCTCCATGTGAGACCATCCTGCTTCAGATGCCCCAATCACTGCCTCGCGTACGCCCACCGCCTCTGTCTCCACAACTGACCAGCTAGCTAGCTCTGAGACCCCCTTTGCCTTTAAAAAATTACCGTGGTGATCACGTGCAACCCACCCCCAGGCATGAATATTCCTATCCTCATCCACCGCCCCATCCACATTTATCTTAATATAACCAGCCCGCGGACGCTTCCAAACTGTCACCGGACCAGCATCTTTCCTTACCTGCCTTACTCCTCCAGTACCTTGAGCATCTCTCCAGCTCGAAATAATTCCCGCCGCCGCATTTATAACCCCCGCAGTTCCTTGCCATCTATCCTTCCAGACACAGTCATTCCTCCTCTTCCATAAGCTCCACAAGATAGCAACAAATCTGCACCGATCCTCCCCATTCGGACCACCTAAATGATGCCAAACCCAAATGTTCACGGAGTTCGTCGGATTGCCCAGGTCAACTATCACCTGCCTCCAGACCTCCTTTGTATGATCACACAGTCGAAAAACATGCTCCGTTGTTTCGTTGTTATCTCTGCATCCTTTACTCCCTTCAATTACCTGCACTCCTTTTTGCCTAAGATTATCGACAGTAGGGAGAGAGCCATCAATCACCTGCCAAGCAAAAAATTTGAGCTTCGGCGGGACATGCAAATCCCATAACCGAGCCCAGTCAGAACCAACCCCAGCCTGCAAGTCTCCTGTAAGTAAACGGTAACAGCTCTTAACAGAAAAAATACCGCTGTTCTCCCCATTCCACCAATGCCCATCCTTCCTATCGTATGAACTAATAGGAATGCTCAAAATCTCCCGCCTATCCTCTGCATTAAAAATATTATAAATTCTTTCTCTGTTCCACTTTTTCCCCGTAAAGTCCCGCAGGGCTGCCACGTTCATATCCCTAATTTCTGGCGGTCTGGCATATGAAACCCGACCCGTCCCCTCTTCAGGGAGCCACGCATCGAACCATACCTGAATATCTATCCCATTTCCAACTCTCCTTCGGATATTATTTTTGAGAATATTTTGTGACTCAAAAATACTACGCCAAATGAAAGAAGGGTTATTTCCAACATGAGCATGCAAAAAATCCGAATTTGGAAAATACCTGGCCTTCAGCACTCTACTCATCAAACTAGTCGGCTCTGTCACTAGCTTCCACCCCTGTTTCGCTAACATAGCCAGATTAAATTCCCTTATTCTCCGAAAACCCAGACTCCCCAAATTTTTCGGCTTACAAAGGGCCTCCCAACGTCTCCACCTCAACCCCTTCTGCTCCAATTTAGTGCCTCTCCACCAAAACCCATTCATCAATTTCTCAATCTCATCACATAAATTATTCGGCAGCAAAAAAACATTCATAGCATAATTAGGCATAGCCTGAATCACATTTTCTAACAGAACCGCTCTACCTGCCCTGGATAAAAACCTATTATTCCAGTTCTTTATCCTGTTAAAAAATTTCTCTTCTAAATAGCCAAGAATGGCTGATTTGTTCCTACCCACAAGCGTTGGTAGACCAAGATATCTACTCTAACCCCCTACCATCGAGATCCCAAAGATACTGCAACAGGCTCCTTTGAAATGTTTCCCAACATTCTGGCTAAAAGATAAAGAAGACTTCCCATAGTTCACAATTTGCCCTGAATTCTCCTCATAAACAGATAAGATATCTTTGACAATCCCAGCCTCCGCGCTAGTAGCTCTGAAGAAAAGGAAACTGTCGTCCGCAAATAATAGATGTGAGAGCGAGGTGCCCCCTATAGACCGCCACCCCGTGGATGTCACCCCGAGCCTCCGCCTTCTTTAGTAACGCACTCAGGCCTTCCGCCACCATAATAAACAGATACGGAGACAGAGGATCCCCCTGTCTCAAGCCACGGCCAGGTGTAATCGGTCCCAAAAAATCCCTCTCAAATTGTACATAATAGCTGACTGTCGAAACACATTCCATAATCATATTCACCCATCTCACAGCAAACCCCATACGAATCATAATCGAGTAAAGGATCAGTTTGGTGCTCGAAGTTGCAAAAAAGGTGTCAAATAAGTCCTTATATGGAAGATTCTGTCCGGACGTGCCATTTGAGGTGGCTCCCAGTGGAATTTTTTGATAAAATTTATTGAGCATCTTATTCATTAAGTCTAGTTTACTCATACCAAATTTCAGCTAAAAATTCAATCGGGAAGACATTCAAATGAATTCTTGAAGATAACTGCGCTTTTAACGGCACAATTATTTTCAAGAATTCATTTGAATGTCTTCCCGATTGAATTTTTATCTGAAATTTGATATGAGTAAACTAGATTTAATGAATAAGATGCTCAAAAAATTTCATCAAAAAATTCCACTGGGAGCCATCTCAAATGGCACTTCCAGACAAAATATTCTATATAAGGACTTATTTAACTCCTTTTTTGCAACTTCGAGGACCAAACTGACCCTTATCCCAATCATAATCTCACGTAAAAAATCCCAGCCTACTCTGTCATAAGCTTTGCTCATGTCCAATTTCAAGGCAACAAACCCCTCTTTACCCTTGCATTTTCTTTTCAAAAAATGATGAGTATCAAAAGACACAACAACATTATCCACAATAGACCGACCCGGAACAAATGCACTTTGATTTTCTCTAATAAGACTTCCCAATAAGACTTTTAATATATTGGCTAAAACCTTTGAGAAAATTTTATACACCACATTGCATTACGCAATCGGCCTCCAGTCCCCCATATCTTCAGGCTTATCTTTTTTTGGAATTAAAACAAGATTAGTCACATTGAGTTCTCTTGGAATAATTCCTAAAGTAAAAATATTATTTGAGCAAAGCCTAGATATATCCGGTCCAACTATATCCCAATATTTTTGAAAAAAGGCAGGATTCATACCATCCGATCCCGGGGCTTTTTCAGGATGCATATCAAAAATAGCTGATCGAACCTCCTCTGGACAAATATCTCGAAGTAACAATCGATTCTGCTCTGCTGTAATCTGGCCAAAATTCCCAAAGCAATCAGCCACTCCTGTGTTCTCACCTCGGGTGAACAATTATTCGAAATAGTCTCGAACCATAGCCCCCACCTGATCTCTGTCCGTACACCACGTGCCATCAATTCTCTTTAGCCCAGATAATTTATTTTTTTGCCT